TGTCTTTTGGGGAATAATTCAAGATCAAAAGAAGCCACATGCGACATCATGCCCGTGGTTAATTTTTGGACTGTCTTTGCGTTCCACACCAGCATCACCAAGATTCGCTAACCAAAACTTGGCAACTGCTGACAGCTGTGCTGAACCATGGTGGCAACCTTTGAACCTCAACCAGCACAGGCTTCACAAAACCAGATTCCACGACATGCACAAACCACCCACTGAAGCTTCAAGTAGAACACAGAGTAGAATGATTCGATGTTCCAAGTTCCAAGTGGTCACACATGCGGCCGTCAGCTTCGGGCCAGGTGCCGGATACGATTTCGGCCAATGCGGCCATCAGTGCGTGTGAGGAGGGAACTGTCTTTAACATTCAACGTGTATGTCATCCCACACGGCCATACACAGGGGGCTACGAAGCCAAACGTCTAGGGCCAAAGCAGTCATGAGCAGTCAAGAACAACACAATTGCAATCAATTGCATTTTTGGGGGGGCACACACGTGTCGGACCACGGCAGAAGACCTTTGCTTGGGGCATTAAAGACAGCCCAAAAGTGCGTAAATCGCAGCACCCATCGTCCTAGACTGGGGTTTTCGGATATAAATACATCTTGAGTTATATTTCACTATATTTGTGGTATATATGTCAGCATAGTGCTCGTCATCCGAACCCAACTCTAATATACGGCATGCTTTCATTCCCTCCGTTCACAATGTTCAATTTTGGGTGCACACACACTTCTAAAAACTTTGCTCGCATGTTTTCCATGAGAGTCCGTTTTGCTCCACCCGTGGTGGTTCACCACGAGCGACCACTCATCACAGGAATCCGGAGATTGGGAGGCTGCGCTCCACCTGTTGACGGTGCGGAATCTTGTTTCGCAGCTGTCAGGTGGGTCCGGTGACTGCACTATGATCCTTTCCCCGATCACAGACGCGTGACCAGAACTACTTGCAAGGTAGTGAAGAGATGTAAACGAGTGGCTGTAACCCGCACTTGGCCCTCAAAATGGTTGTTCGTTCGGTGATCCCCGACAAAGGATTGACCACCTGGGATTGATGCAACTTTTGGGTTTAACTCGGTTTTCCTCGACTTCAACCCGAGCTTGGCGGGTTGATTGACAACTCCTGGGGTTCTCCTAGCCAATTGACATGGCTTCGGTGTCTAAATATTCTAAATGTGCAAGCAGCCGGGAGGATGTTCATTGTGCTTTAAGCATGTGTCCCCTTCAGTGCACAATAGTGCACGTGCCTTTTCTTGGAGCATCGCCCCCAAATCCTGGAGGTGTTGATCAACTGCATGTATGCCCCACACCAATGGGGATCCTCAACGAAGTGCCTCGGTTGTTCTCCATTCAGCCTCCTCAGTCTATTTTTGGGTGGGCTCCAGATATATTAATCCAGATGGCTGGGGAAGAAATCGTGCAGCCCTGAAAGCCGCCCAGCACAAAGGATGTGCAGCTTGCGACTCCGCCGTAGCGTCATTGGAATCAGCAGTGCCATCAGTGCTTGTGCAGCTTGCTTGCAGTTGCACATCTAAATGCACCATGTTGCTTCTAGAACATCGGAGACCCCTTAAGCTTTCAGTTTGTCCTAGATTTGCTCAGAAACTCCGGCATTCCATACCTCTCACTCTCACTCTCATTCCCTCCCTAGGGATCCAAGTACCTTCTCAGAAGGTGATCGGAGACAGTCTCATGTAGGTTTTGAGGGTCCAAGTACCTTCTGAGAATGTACTTGGATCCTAGGGTCTCTCTATGTGTAGTACACATATGTTTATTTTTATAAGTACATGGTCTCTGAGAGGGTTTTTTGGCTGTGTGTTCCAAGGTGATGATGTTTTTTTGTTGCTTTCGGATGTGTGGTGGAACCTCTCCGACCAGATCTTTCGGGTGCGATGTACGCCGCTCCTCACATGATGTACACCGATTCGTAGGCTTCCGGGATTTGTTCAACCAGATAGTGATCAACGATAGGTATCAGTCTTGGCTAACAATATGTTTGACATGCTACTGTTCTGTACTGTATATGTTGTTCCTGGGAAATGCGCACAACCTCGAAGCAATACTGGTTACTGCTAGCTGAACGCCGGTTCAGCACGAGTCGACCAGGAGAAGGGTAGCTCTTGGGCTGCAGCACTGCAGTTGCTTCGCGACATGCCCACATGGAGGCGACTTTCGAACAGTCATCGCATTCAATGGATGGAGTGGCTGTGACTTCAGGTTGGAACGGCGAGGCATCGAAGCTAAGAAGTCGAAGGGGCAATAGCCATAACCATTCCACTTGATGTGGAGACCGTTGCCAGCCCAGTGGCAGCTGACCTATATTAACAGATTCTAACAGATCATTTCATTGATGAGCACTTTGTGCCATCTGATTTGCTTTCAGCGGCTTTGGCTTTCAGGTGCGTGGCCAACGACATCACTTACAACAGCACCATGAAGGCCGCCGAGCGTGGTGGCCACTGGGAGCTGGTTCTGCCACTTGGGCTGAAGAGTTCTGCCGGAGGACTGGAAAGGAGATGTTTGCCCTCCGAACACAGGATATACATATATCGCAATATGTGGGGGACAGCCCTGACTGGCCAAGAATGACCCAGTTATTGATTGTTTCCTTTTTTTGTTTTCATGTGGTTGTCATGATGGAATACTTTGGTTGTGGTTCACTTCCGTCATCAGGTATCCAGGCAAGTTCGGTCATTTGATAGGGCTAAAGGCTGTTCTCCAAGCTGGTTCGCGAGCGTTGTTTTGCTCAGGGGTATCCTTTCGCGACCCCGCAGGAAAAAAAGTAAACAACAAAACAATCAATTTTCACTGTTTTTACCGCGGATATAGTAGAAGAAAAAGGGGCGCCCCATGGTAGAGAAAAAGGGGCGCCCCCCCCGGTAAAAACGGTAAAACAAGAAACTTTTTGATTTTTTCCGTTTTTACCGCGGATATGAAGTCTAAACATGGAGCGCCCCCAGTAAAAAAAATAAAACAAAAAACACGGTTTTCCTGTTTTTGCCACGGGTCTTTTGTAGAAAAGAAAAGGACAAGTCCACCTACACAAACGGAACATAACACAACTTTGATTTTTAACGATATGGTAGAAGCAAAAAGAGCAAGCGACTCTTCATTAAAAAAGGTAAACAACAAAAGTAATAATTTTCACTTTGGACCGTTTTTACCGCGACAATGCCTCGGGACCAGGTCGCAAGCTAGAAGACCTTTGTCAACAAAAAGGTTTAATGTTACAGCCCGGGTATCTTCCTATAATCAGGTGGGGTTCACTCCTCCTATCATATAGGAGCGTGTGCCCTTTTCGACAAGAGGAGTTTGGTGATTGATCAACATTTCATGACTTTTAACTTTTGCAGGGCAATGAAAGCCTACATCACTTGGATCGAACACTTTCGATTTTTACCTACCGCGGATATGGCAGAAGAAACAGCGGTGACCCTCCGTTAAAAACTGAAAAAGAAACATAGACCCGTTTGCCCCCCTGGATCATAACGGTACAAAAAGAATAACAAACATTGATTTTACCCTTTTGATCGCGGATATGGTATTGAAAAAGGAAGCGCCCCCGGTAAAAACGGTAAAACAGAATCGATGTTTGCCGTTTTTACCGCGGATATGGTAAAAGAAAAGGGCCGTACCCCCCCGTGAAAACGGAAACAGCAAAATGGTATTAATGAAAAAGGGACGCCTAGAACAAAAGGAGCGCCCCCCGGTAAAAACGGTAATTTGTTTTTTTTCGATGTTTACCGTTTTAACCGCAGATATGCTAAAAAAGGGGTGCCCCTGCGGTAAACACGGTAAAAACAAATACCGTTTTTACCGCGGATATGACAGACGAAAAAGGGGTGCCCCCCTGGGGAAAACGGGAAACAATAACATGTTTTTGATTTTTACCGTTTTTTCCGCGCAGATGCATCGGATTAACCCCGTAACCCCGGCAACTACGCTAAACCAGCACAGTTCTCTTCCGCACTGAGTTGAACCAATTCCGCGTCGTGGCCGTGCGCCCAGGGCATTGTTGGAGGAGATGAACGCTTCTCATGTTGGAGTAGAACCCGGGCCGCAGTTCATCGGAATGAGGGCCTTGGAAGAGATGAGTATTTTCACTGTTTCAATTACATAAAGAGCTCTACCAAGGCCCTTTTGGAAGGCTCTTTTGCTCTACCAAGGCCTCAGGTCCGTAGTTCCTTCACCAAGTTCGTGAACTTTGTTGGAACATTTTTTGCACAACAATAGACATTACTTTGGCTTCTGAAGGTGTTTGCAGATTGCACAGCTTTTTTTTGACTTGCCACTCGGTCGACTAGCGCTCTATGGCAGTGGCTGAATGGTGTCAGGACGTAACTACTGGAGCGGGAATTGTTGAACTCAGGATTTGATCGCCTACAACACTGCAACACTGGCGTGTGAGCGCAAGCTGCACAAGAACCATTGCATGCAACACTTGCTGAATGAACACCTGCCAGCTGAAGTCTTAGAAGCCTTCCACCCATTTTGATAGGTTAATATTGCGGCCGATTTATGCCTCCTTCGTCATGTGATGAAGGGAAGGAGGAACCGGTTCAAGAAGGGTTTGGTGTCCAAGATGCCATTCAGGCTTTGCCTGCTTTGCTTGAATTGAACACGTTCTGACCTCTAATTATCTTCAGGTCCGTTCAGGTCTAGCAGAAAAAGGACCGCCACGAGCGCAAACGAAGTGTTCACGCTTGCAGAAGTCGCCTCGAATGACCACACAAGCGCTTCAAGACGTCGCACCACTCAGCTTCACACTTGGCAAGATTCTTGCAACGAACCATCGGCAACCACATTCGAACCTTGTCAATTCTGATGCCCTCCCGAGAGCCTGTGGGCTAGCATCATTCATTTGGTAGGTTGGATTTCTGAGGTATTTCCAAGAAGAGGAGGTTTGGCTACCGTCGAACACGCACTAGAATGAGTGGAAGACTTAATCACTGGACCTACAGGTATACTGCGTGATGGGAAGTTGCAGTATCCATGGCCTTTCGCTTTTCCCCTGCCACAGTCCTCATGGCCTTGCGCCACAGCAATCCGCATGGTCCGCAGCGCCCAGCTCCGCAGATAAGACAGCCGCGTGGCACGTTTTGTCTTTTCCCTGTGAAGTGGTTTGTAGAGGAGTTGGCTTCAACTTGCAATCAAATGGTCCATGTTCAAAGAACCTGGTCTGTGAGGGCGAAGAACATATTAAATCATAATAATATTAATATATATACCTAGAAGTCTAGAACCTGAGTACTCCCTACTCTGGACCAACCATTCCATTCAAGCCCATGGATACTGTAAATGCTCAGGTCAACTGCCTAGGCCGGTGCTCACAGGTCTGGCCACCAAATGGGACCAGCGCCTGAAATGAAAGAAAAACGCACTGGCATGCACTGGCAAGTCCCAGATATCAGTGATGAGCTGAACAGCCCCCTCATTTTCACTGAATTGCTTTGAGCAACTCATGGTCAGAGGTAACGGCTTCAGTTCGCCTCACCTCACCTCTTAGGACCGTTAGGATGGTGGCGGACCGGTCCTAATTGTGGCATCCGCCCACCAGGTCGAATCTGAGGATGCATAACTACCATATACATGTCCTATGCATGTCCTATTATACATTAGTTAAGGCATGTGCGAGTGGAGATGGCAACAACGCCACCCGGATCCACGGTCACCGGAGCGACGCCACGGCTCAAAGACGGAGCGAACGCGATCCGCCGGGGATCGATCCCGCCATGTGGCTCTCGACGGTGAGGCGTGCGTGGCACTACAAGTACTGGCAAAGGCAGACGGCGGGATATTTAAGGACGTTTGAGAAGAACAACAAGTTGCCGAACAATGAGATGATTGGCTATGTGATCAATGATAAGCATCCCAAGTCCATTCGCGTGGCCTGTGATCGCTATATGTGGGTGATGCGGTACAAGAAAGCCTTCCGCTTCACCAAAAAGGTTTGGGCTCACGACGAGCATTCTGAGTGCATGGTGGGTGATGTTGTGCGGGTGCAACCTTTGGGCTACCGCTTAGGGCCCTGGAAGACCTATGTCCTGTCACGCATCTTGCATCGTGAGCCCCGGGACGAGCTGGCACCGCGTGCATCGGAGAAGAGAAATCTCCTACAAAAGTCAGAGACATCGAACACTGAAATGCAGTGAGGAAAAATGCAGATGTCCTGTCAGTGCTTTCGTGCATGGCCAGTTTTGTGTCCCCCTTGGCAATCGATAGGTGGGGGGGAAAGATGTTGTTTTTTAATGGTTTTTGAAGATCCGACAAACCCTGTTTTGTTGAGCAGAGTGCAGGGGGCTTGAGTATAAAGCTTCGCACCGGTGCCAGTGGTGCCTTTCCCGTCCCTTTGAGAAAGTCTTTGCAGGTCGATCCGTCCATTATGTCGAATGATGTCTTCGACCCATGTGGTGATCGACCCAAGGCACGGCCCACCAAGGCCTCTCAGACGCTTTGCAGCTGGGCGTGCCTGCCAAACTCCCAGTGCTGGGAGGACGGAACCGCAGGTTCTTGGAGCCTCCTTAGCTTTGTCAGGATTCATGATAAGCTTGGAATGTGTTGAGATGTTTTGAGTCCTTGGATGTTTTGGGAAAATATTGATGCCAACGGCACCCTCTATCATGACAACATATCATCACTATGAGGCTTTTCGGTCAACGCATATACTTCATCCGAGTTCCAATTCGGATGATGTGGTCCAATGGGTGCTAAGAGGAAGACAGACGAACCTGGAAACCGCTTGGTGCTGCTTTTGTGAATGGAGCCTTTAGCCCTTTAACTGCAGCGCCGGGCCTTGGCCCAAAAGCGACCGCTCGGGTCCGCTCCGGTGCTTCGGCTGTATGAATGCGTCAGGTCGGCGTATTATGAACATGGTGCTCAAGCCCCGCGATTGGATGTGAAACCAACTGATCTATGCAAAAACGCGCGTACCTTGAGTCTCCAATGATCCTTCTAAATTCGCCTTTCCAAGAAAAAGATGTTTCCGAAAGAAAACACTGCTTTTTTTGGCATATGTCAGTGACAAATGGTCCATTAAAGAGACCACTGCGGCTCTTCATATGTCACGAAATGTTCCTTCTTGTTGTTTGTGCCCTGTCAGATCCTCCATAGACAGTGTCCTGAGACCTTTTTTCGGCATCCAAAACGCATCTTTTTGCGTCCAAAAGGCGTCTTTAAGCGTCCGCACCGGACGCGTCCGGATGAAGATTCACTCTGTACCTCATCTCTGAAAACGTGTTTTTCGAGCAAAAACGTAAAAAAATATTACAGTAGACCCAAAGCAAAAACGCAGAAAAAAGGTTCTTTGGAGATTCAAGGTAGATCGGAGGAATATCCCTTTTGGCTCCTTGCCGACGTCGCCAATCTCCAGGACCTTTGCTTGCCTTCCATGGCGCGCGCGGCCCTTGCGAAACCCGCGGCCGACGTCTCCCAAGCGCCTTTGGCGGTGTGAAACCGAGTGGACGAAGCCGCAGACGAAGCCGGAAGGGCGCTAGCTTCGGTTGGGGAAAAAGACCTGGAATTCCATGGAATTCACTGAGTCCTATGAATGATGATGATGATGATGATGATGATGATGATGATGATGATGATGCTGATGGTGCTGGTGACGATGTCGATATCGATGACGACGACGATGATGATGATGGAGATGATGGTGATGATGGTGGTGATGGTGATGATGATGATGGTGATGGTGGTGGTGATGGTGATGGTGATGGTGATGGTGGTGGTGATGATGGTGATGGTGGGGTGATGATGATGATGATGATGATGATGATGCTGATGATGATGATGATGGTGATGATGGCACAAATTGTTGACCCCTGGGCTCGCATGTTGACCTGCATGTAGCCCTTAGAATGGCTTGCCCGATCAAGAAACGTGGCTTGGTGGAACATAGTCGTTAGAATTAGTTTGCAAGTGTTCGTAAGAGAAAGAAGAAACTAACTCTTCCGGGTCTTGGAAGCCAAATCGCGCAAACCTTCCGGGACTCATGTCCTTTGGCGAGGCCATCAGTGTGGGCTTTAGCCAGCGAATCTCCCGGTGCCGCAGGGTCCGGGCATCCGGAGGGGTGGGTGGCATGAAGCTGGAAGTGACAGCAGTGCTTAGGAGAAAGAGGATGTACATGGCAGAGCTGTAGTCAGGCATGAAATTTCTAGGAGTTGTGTTTTTTCACCTAGACAAGTCCAAAGTCTCATGAGTTTGGGTAGAGCCGAGCTCATTCTTGGCACCTTCACATGCCAATGGAGCAGGAAGGCAAATGGCAAGAGGCGGTGTACCTTTTGGCACAGATGCGGCGTGGCAAAGCACTCCCGAATGACATCACCTGCAACATGGTGCCTTGATCAAAAGGCAGCCAAAATCGTGAGACAAAAACTGATTGCTCGGGATTTGATTGCTTGCTGCTGTTGAATGCTTTCGTGGAATCTGTAAATTTGAAATTAGACGACGTTGTTATTATACGGCTTCAACAAGAAATGCCGAGCACTGCGACAGTTTGTTGACATGTGACATATGTATACACATGTGTCATTTATTTCTGGGATGGTTTGGGCATGTTGGAGCTCTTTGTGATGGTAGCTAGCCACTTTGTGCTGGTCATGCTGGTCATGTTCCAGACTCCTACACAGCGTGACCGTGAAACAAATGACCGCAGTTATGACCGCGCATGTCGGTTTTATGTAGGCCATGGATTTGGAGATGGTTTGAACCTCGAAATCCTTTCTGACCATTCCATGGTTCAAGAAACTTGCCTAATTAATCAAGTCTGAGACAAGTGGTGCATGATTCACCTGGGACCGACAGTTTTTAGAATTCGGACTGCCTATGGCGGGAGTAAGTTTTGGGGTTCAGAACATGTCGTAGCCCCTCAGGACCATATGGGTTTGGACGTTTGAAAGCCAATATCGTTATGGTTTCAGAAGAACTGGCATCCGAGCTTCCAGCAAGCCTGCTCCACTCCATGTGTTGTTTTCTCATTCAGGGTTGCTCCGGGTTGTCGAACATGTATGGCATAGTTATATAGTATGTGGATGTATATGGGAAGCAAGTTGGGCAGCATTCAACGGGGAGTCTTCCGGCGAAATCAAACACAATGGGTTGATCGACAGCCTTTCGAAAGATTCCACGCCGGGCAAGCCTCGGGGACTCTAGACATGCGATGCAGGGTGTGCTGGTCATAAGGGTCAACTGTTTCGTCAGGTGATCAGCGCTTGTGCCAAGGGAGGTCATTGGCAGCTCGCTGTGGACTTGCTTTGCCAGATGCCCGCCGTACAGGAGGGGTCCAAGACTAAGGATGAAAGGCGATCAGGTACTGTAGAGATATTTAGGTTGGTACTAGCATACTGGTACCCAACATGCATCAAAATGCTGTTGCCGGAGCAGTTTCGGATCGTTGTTAGCCAAAGAGGCTGCTGCTGTAGAACCAGTTGTGAGACCCCCACTTCAACTTGATGTCCAGCTGTTGGGGTGCAATTGATAGATCCATGTATCAATTGAATAGGTTCTTAAACTTCCTAAGGTTCTTCTGAAGATGCCCTTTGTTCCTAGTAGCTTCTTGTTCCTAGTGGCAATGCCAGGAGCTGCTAGCAGCTTCTTGCTCCTAGTAGCGCTGCCCTTTGTTCCTAGTATTTTCTTGTTCCTAATTCTTCTCACAAAAATCAAGGTGCACAAGAGCTCCATGCCGGAGCTCGTGAGCGGTCTGCCGTTTTCCAGGTCACCTCCCCGGAGGTCACCTGCCTTCGGGTGAGCTACTCCCCACTAAACCACATGATGAAGCCCCAAAACCACTGGATGGTAGAGGAAAATGGTTCGAAATCACCAGACCATTCTTTGGTTCGGGATCGTGAAGACGGAGACGTGGTTCCCTGCCTCGTGGCCGGATCGTTCCAGGTGACTCCTGATCTCATCAGCTACAACAGCGCCATCAATGCATGTGAGGTTGCAAGCGAATGGGCAGCTGCATTGGCGTGCTTCAAGGCCGGATGATCGCCCTTTGCTGAACATGCCTAGAAAGCCTAGCTGAGGTGTTGCTACTGGGAGTCAAGCTCATGGCAATTTCTTTGCACAACCACCAGGCTGTCAAACAAGGTGAAGCGGACAACAAAGATCAACATGGCACTGCTTACCACTTTGGTAGGTTCCTCGTTCTCACCATGACTCGGAGTCAAGAACCCATCGGCGCACCAAGTGGACGACGTCCACTCACCAAACGAGGAGTTTAAACAAGAACGCTCGCCCCCGCTTCCGACACTGAAGCGGTGCCAGTTGGGGACGTGGTGGTGTTCAGGGCTTTGGGGAGGGAGACGTTGTTTCTTTTGTTCCTTTTTGAGGCCCTTGAGGAGAAGCAACTTCAGCCAGATATCATCGTTTACGGCGGTGTCATCAGTGCTTGCGCCAAAGCTGGTGGCTTGCTCTTACGTCATTTCTGGGGAAATCTGTCGAACCATGAACCACTTGGCCACGTCGGGTCGCTCGCAGTGGGTTGCTAAGATGAACCAGCTCGTCACCCGTCCTGCGATTCCGGGGCGGTCAGTGGTGGTCCTTTCGACCCCAGAAGGGACAGACCTGAGCCGACCCCAGACCACCCCCTTGGTCCAGACCTGCGGACAGGGAACAAAACATGGGACTTGTGGACACAAGTGACGAAAAATAGTTTTGATTTGGCAAGGATGTACCGCTGAGGACCAACCGAAACAAATCACCTATTGGTAGTGCAGAAAACCATTGGAACAATTAGTGTGCACAAAAGAGTGCATAAATAGACATGAAATAACATACAATAGATATTAAACAAATGATCATCCACTCATTCAAAGACAGGCTTGAGTCATTCAGTAGCACCCGCAAACTCCCGAAGAAGAGTTTTTGATAGTTTTTGCTTGATTGGTACAGTATGTAAATGCGTTCCGCAGCTCGTGGGGAACGAATCTGGTGGACATGCCAACTCAAGACCTACCTCCCATGGGTGTGAGTAGGTTTGCGTAGTGCTCCAGGCTTTTGGCAGCTTACCTTGCGGATCTTTGAAGAGCTTTGCAGACGCATGTCCCCTGACCTGGTGGCCTGCAATGCTGCGTTGCGTGCATTTAAGGCAATGCATGGCATCATAGTTTGTTTTTGGGTAAGGTCACGAGTCACCTGTTGACCCTGCAGGATGGAGGATTTGATTTGAGCGAGTTCCCGCCTGCTGCCTAAAGCCAATCCTTGCCTTCACAACCTGTAGACATGCTATGACATACTCTTTGGCCAATCTGGCCAGGGAAACCGCTGGCCTGTGGCAAATGCCATCCTGCAGAACTTTGATGACTTTGGGCTTCAAGCTGATGTGGTGACATTCAGCACGGCCATCACCTCCTGTGTGCCTTGGCGCCAGCATGCGTGCCAGCGCGCCGCCCGGTGGTGAAGCGCCCGTCTCACACATCTTCGTGAGAGATTTGCACTGTCAGATATGTTTGGTTCTTATCTACCGATTAATCAATCAAATTGCTGTATATATATATATATATTCATTTACAAATATAAAGTGCATAGGCTCAAGTTTCCTGCTCAAGCTCGGGCACAGGGCCCTTTGGAGCTCTACGGCACTGGACCTACGCTCACACTTTGCGAGGACCAGGAGACCGCCCTTGACTACCTCTACGGTGCCCTGGCAGATCCTCATCATGGGCTGGCCATCCTTTCGCGCTTACCAAGGCTGCAGCTCCAAGGATTGTGGCAATTGGATCTGGGAAGATCGAATTCAACCTCACTATGTTTGCCGGAAGTGCTCCACTCCATGGCAACAGCCGGCACAAGGATTCGCCAAAGCCACAGCCAAACCACCAGCTTCATGGAAGAACACTCGCAGACGAGTGACACCTCCGCCAGGTCTCCCGGTCAGCAAGGCACCACGCCCGGCCAAACTTGAACAGTCGGCTGCTGACATCCTGGCCCCTGCGTGGTCATCATTGGATGAAGGCATGCGCTCCAAGCTGATTCAGCTTGGCATTGACCCTTCACCCAAGGTCGATGAACCGGATCTTCAATCAGTTCTCAAAGAGAACATGGCTAGCCTTCCAGCCCCAGTGAAAGAACTTGTGGAACGTCTGACCAAACCGCAGCCAGAGACTGAGAAGGACATGGCTTCGAGGCTCAAACAACAAGTGACGACCTTGCGAGATTTGTCACTCAAGAAGCAAGCTCTGCAGCAGAAGATTTGACAACACAAAGAAACTCTACCAAGAACTTCTTGATGAGATGAAGTCTCTGCAGAGCCGACTAGAGCAGGAACAGTCTACCCTCACGAACGTCAGCACGGCCTATCTGACCAAAGTTAGCTCCTCCCAAGGCACAGGAGCCTTGCAGCCTCTCGACACTGAGATGCCAGACTCTATGCCGGAGGCAGTAGCAGGGTTCATTTCGACCCTTGGAGTCAACTTGAGCCAAGAGCAAAAGGATCAACTGAGCGTCATGTTGAAACGTCCTCCGGCAGATGCAGCAGCCATGGATGAAGAAGCAAAACGACGCAAGACGGAGTTGATGTCAAACGGATCGTGTGGGTAGCACGCCAGTCTCGAGGCCTCCTATCCAGGCCTCATCTGACTCTTTGGGAACGCAGTCATGCCTTTCAGTTCATGACCGGGGACTCAGTCAGCCATCTTGCAGGGGAAATGCATTCATGGTTGACTTCACTGACTTTTCAGGCTCAAGCACGGGCCGCTCTTCTTCCTCGGGCGGCTATGGGCCTCAACGACTTTCCTTGACGAAGCTCAAGGTCTTGGGGGGGGCGCCTGCAGGCGACCCAGGCCATCTACGACCGGCAGCTGAGGCACCGTGCTCTTCTACCTCTGAACAGCTCCCACGGGAGACTGTTAGATACGGGACCTCAGCTGTCACGTCCTTGGCCCAGATTCTCATCATGGACGATGAGGATGTTTTGACTTTTGAACAACGAGGTCTTTTTGACCTTTGCAGCAAGGATAGGATCCGCACTTGCCAGAGCTATGGCCGCAATCCCACTTCTCAAGGAGGCCAACAGCTCCTCATGCAAAATGTCGTCCAGAGACACCTCAGTGTCCAAGGAGATGGAGACCACAATGTTTCAAACATCTTCATCATCTCTCAGTGCTTGACCACGATCCTGCAAAACCCCAGGAACCTGTGCTATGCCAGAGGTGCTGGTGCTGGACGGGGCCTATGCAGATGACATGATTCAGGCCTGGGGACGCACTCAAGCTGCCGCCCGCCAATGCCTGGCCAGCGGTGAACCGCAACTTCTCTCTGACATGCAAGACATGTCCTCCATATGGCCCCAATTCGGTCATGAAGACCAAGCAGATGCTGCTGATTTCTTACAAGCTGTCTGGGCCTACTCCAGAAGCACTTTCTTTGCTGGCTGGTTCTTTCACCGCAGTGAACGAGGCCACACGGAGGAGCGGGAGCAATTCCCTTTCAACATCCTGTTCCCCGAGAGTCAAGGTCCGACCACACTGGACACCTTGATCAATCTCTGGGCTGATGAAGGAAGAGGTCAATTCCTCTATGGCTCACCGGGCGGGCTGGTCTTGAACCTGCAGAGATCAGCTCTCCTTGAAGGCACCTGGACCAAGCACCACAGTGAGCTGACGATCCAGACCAACGTCCACATCCCATTCTCGGAGGACGGGGAGAATGTCCACTATGCCACCTATCAGGTAGTTGGACTCGTTCTGCACCAGGGAGCCACCCATGAAAATGGACATTACCAAGCCATTTTGGCGCTCAACAATGTCTATTGGTTGGCTGATGACAACGTCTACCCGGTCCCTCTGGCCAAACTGACCCCGCAGCAACAAGCGGAGATATCACAGGTGTGGTTGACCTTGGCCCCCACTGACGCCATGGTCACTGACACAGCCATGGAGCTTACTGGCACAGAGGCCAAACGACTCAGGTGATGCCAGGAAACCCTTCACATCTCCTTCAGCAATGTCACCTCCTTTGGCAAGAAAGTTCAGGATTGGGTCTGGGGCCAGGGAGACACCATCATGCTATCACCTTCAAGCGCCCTTCATTATTGGAGGCGACTGGCAAAATGCACCAGCTGACCTGGCCGCCACCACCATTCCGAGCAAGTTCAAGGCGCAGATCATTGCCACTTCGGGTCCCACTACGTTGCAGGGCAGCCACCTGGATTTCATTCTCGCCTCCACGGCCATTGCTGGCTCCCTCAGGCTCGAAGCCAACTGGGAAGCGCCTGGAAACCTCATTGTGCCCTCGCCCTTCAGATGGACTGTGCACATGCTGCTCTCCCTGTGTTGCAGCTTCAGCGGTTTCCTCCCATCTCCAGGAACTACAGCCCTGAGCATCTTTGGACCAGTTACGCGGAGGATGACGGCCCCTTCATGATGTTGGGACAGACCATCACGGGCTTGGGCTCAGACCTTGCTCGATGGGCATCGAGAAATACCTCACGCAGCACCTCCACAAACCGGTTGCTGGCCGAGGGTCCCAAGTCAAGCTCTACACGGCTCCCTTGGCCAGTTCCTCCAAACCTAGAGTCTGGAAGAAGGGCAGTGCGGCTTTCTGGGAGAAGATGGGCATCCGCCTCAACCTGGCCTGCCATGGGCGTTATCCAGGCATTTTAGAGGACCTCAAGGACATGATCAAACGCATCCCTCAGCATGCCTCCTTGGAGCTGGATCAAAACCACCTGAGGAACAGCTGCTCAAATGGATTTTCGGGGGCACCCAACTTCCCTCCAGCATTCAGCAGATCATCCAACATGAACAAGATCTTGCTCAACAGCAGATGTTGAGTGCCACCAATCATGAGTTCAGGGAATGGTTGGAGAAAGCCCACGACAAAGGTCTCCGCGGTCTCTTCCGCAGCCTTCGTCAAAAGGACCATGCTTGGCAGCGGCCTTTCCAAAGTCTCCCTCCCTCCATGCGCACTGAGGCCAGAGAGCAACAGTGGGGGGCAATATGGAAACCTTAGAAGGACCTCTCCAGATCAGAGGCCTGGCCGACCTCCGCCGTGAAGCCCAAGCTCACGCTCTTCAACACAAAGCCATCGACTCCAGCTTGCTGCAGAAGATCATGAGGAAACTTCCCAACAAGGCGGCCGGTCCAGATGGCATCTCCTATGACTTCCTACGGCATTTGCCATATCCAGCAGTCGAACGCCTGGCTCAGCTCCTCACTGAGATGGAACAAGAAGCTGAGTTACCTTTGCAGATGAGGCACACCAACATTGTGATGATTCCCAAAAGCGAGCGCATTGAACGACCCATTGCTTTGACATCGTGTCTCTACAGGCTATGGAACTCTTACCGCAAGTATGACCTTCAGAAATGGCAGCTTGGTCTGGACACAGACATGCCGTGGGATCACGCTCGGCCACACAAAGACTGCCTGTCCATTGCAGTTGGTCGCATGCTCAAAGCAGAGATTGGCAAGCACCAGGGCATCCACACTGTCACCTGCCTTGCGGACCTGACTTGTTTCTACGACACGGTCCAGCTCGATCACCTCATTGAGCCTGCAAGGGAGCTTGAGTACCCTCCCCTCCACCTCAAGCTGGCCCTCGACCTTTACACGGGCCCAAGGTTGATTCAAGCTGAAGGCATTGCTGGTCATCCCAAGTACTATCAGAATGGGATCCTGCAGGGCTGCCCTCAAGCACCTGCCATATGCCATAGCCAAACTGGTGCTCTTCAAACCTCTCCGCTCTTTGGTAGCAGAGCATCCTGCTGTGCTGCTCCAGACTTGGGTCGACGACGTGTCCTTCAACATCAAAGGCACAGACCCTGACTATGCTGCCAGAGAAGCTGTGATGGCCTTCCGCACCTTGCAACGTCATCTCAATGAAGCGGGCTTGAAGCTGAACACGGACAAGACCGGCTTCCTCACCAGCAGCAAAGAAGCTGCCAAAGCCTTAGATGCCTTGCTGCAACCTGGAGATCCACAACACCACAATGTCCTCCGAGACCTGGGCATCGATGCCACCAATACCAAACGGTGACGGGTCACCCAGATCAAGAAGCGGTTCCTTAAGGGGAGAGGACGAGCAGGCATCATGATGCGCCTCAAACTGGGCACGGCCATCAAGTACAGGCTACATCGTGGAGCAGTCCATCCGGTGATGAGTTGGGGGGCTCAAGCCAACGGATTAGCTCCACAAAGACGGCAACAACTTCGGGTCATGGCCGCCAGAGGCTTGGGCTTGCAGCGCACGGGATCAGTAGATGTGGTCTTTGATATGCATCAGGACAAGAGTGACCCTGGGGACTCTATCATCCTTCAGCACATCCACACGGTCTGGAGGGTCCTCCATTCCTTTGATGCAAGTGCCCAACACCTCTTCTGGATCAGCTGGAACGGCGCTCTTGATCAGCTTCAGAAGGCCAAGTATCGTTGGCAGGTTGTCACTGGCCCGCTTCAAGCTTTACAAGCCTATCTGCTAGACTATGACTTTGACATCTCCAATGGCAAGGAGTGGAAGCGGGTTGGCTATGGTGGCATCCCGGACTGCATCATCAGCCTTGAAGCCCTCTGGCCTGAGATACAGCACAAGCTGATTGAGGAATTCCAGTGGCAACGCCTTTTGCGCTTGACCAGATACACTGGCTGCCAAGACATCGAGAGGAAGCTCGATTGGACAGTCAGCAAAACCCTGCAGAAGACCACCTCGGACAGGATTGCCACAAGCAGGCACCTTGCACGGACAAGATGGCAAGTGCCCGCTCTGTGATGTCGATCTCACCTTCACTCACCTTCTTTGAAGGAGTGCAGCTTTTGGGAAGGCCGTGTTCGACCACTTCCGGATCAATGGAGAGAGCGCATTCACGCCAACTCTGAACCAGAGCTCTGGAACCGTGGAATGACCCAGTCCATCTTCTACATCCCGGATGGGGGCATGGCCACCTTCAACGGCGAAGGCTTGTGGGCCAACATGGAGACCTGCAATTTGCCTTCGGGCCACGCTGTCTCTTTGGCAGCGGCGCCGACACCAACGTTTTGCCTTTGCTATTTGCATACACCATGTCTTCACCAAAGAGAGGGTCGGCTCCTTCACGGGCATCTGTCCGGGCAAGGCCACGAGGTTACGGACTGAAACACCTATCCCTACACATCAGGGACAAAGTCCATGTCGTGGTCTTCCAGCACAGCATTTGGAAGAGCTGGGCTTTCATGGCAGCACATGAGAGATTTCCTGATCTCAGTCAGGGCCTGGAACATGAAGACTTCGACCAAGTGAGATTGCTCCTCTTTGACCGCAAGGAGATTGACTCCAATCCCAATCGACGAGCCTTCCAAAAGGACACGCAATCGAAGGCCGATCAAGCTGCCCTGCTGGCACGTCCAGATGATATCATGGACCTCCAACGGCACATCGACGAAGACACACGAGATGTTTTGAGTGTGGCAGGCACCCGGATGGACATCCTTCTTCGCTGCAAGGACCACTTCCTGCACACCAAACCCTCTCCAGAAGCTCCGGTCAAAGTGCCCCTGGTTCAGCAGAAGCGTGCCCTCTTGAACAGCTTCTTGCAGGACGCCTCTGACACAGGGCACCAATGGACTCCATTCAGGTCCGGAGTGCAATGCTCCCTCTGCCGTCAGAGGTTCCACACCAAGTCTTTGCTTAAGGAGCTACAGGAGGGCCTGCGCGCTCCGTGCTTGGGCCCGTCAAACGAGGCAAGAAGACCCGCTTCGAGATCATCCATGATCTCATCGACAGTCAAGGAGATCCTAGACCAGGTACGCTGTGCCGGAGCTACGTGCTTGCAAGAGCTGGAGAGGAATCTTTCAACAGATTCTTGGGAGAAGTGTGTCACCATGGACCTCTTGAGCCACATCTGTGGCTGGGACATCCCTCCCATCAGATGTCCAGAAGCAGCCAACAGGTCGAATGTGAACGATGCCACGAGAAGGCCAAGTTCAGGAACAATGAGATTCAGCTCACCAGCAAGCTTCGAGGTCCTTGCCAAGTCCACCACTTTGGTGACCTTCGACAAATGTTGGCATGAGTCCAACTTCGTCCTTGCAGATCGAAAAGAGCCGGACAAAAAAAATATAAAGTGCATACATCAATATGAGCATTAATACATGTGTATATTATATATGAATATGAATATGTATGTAATTATACAATGTATATATGCTTTGCTCGTTACATGTGTATGTATGATGCTGACATGTTGAGCTGCTCAGACCGAGACCGGAATTGGCGAAAGGACACCTCTCGCCTCTCTTCGTCCCAGAGCAGCTGAGGTGGATGCTTGGCCCATGACCCTGCAGCTGCTGACGGAGATGCATTCCGCTCAGATTGAAGCAAACGTTTGGAGTAGCTGCGCGCACGGGTCTGGATGGGGAGAATGACTGGGTGGTTCATGGATTCGATCATGGTCAGACCATAGCAGTTCATGTGTGACGTGTTTTCTCTCACAGTGTCGGTGGTTGAGGTTGTGGCTCATAGAAACATTTAGAAACCGCCTTTGGCGTGACATCTACCGTATTCCAATGGGCGATGATGCCCGTGAACCAGGTTGCCCCCGTCCAGACCGATCTGAAAGCCGGAGCTGCACGAGCTGCACAGAGCAGCCAACCGGTCGAAACAGGCACAGACCGAGTTCACTTACTCAGTTGGGGCGTTCTGGTTTGGAATCACATGAAGCTACGAACGGAGCAACGGGCATTTCTACGAACGGAGCAAGGATGCTACGAACCTAGCTCCTGGCCGTACTAGTAGTAACAAGAAACTGCTAGTAACAAAGGGCATTTCTACTATATCACGGGGTTTGGGGGATCCATCAAATTCACGCGACACCGCAGACCCCGCGGCAGCCTCAGGCTTTAGTAGCGCGATGACTTGCATGAGTGGGGCTGCCTTATCTGCGTGGCCGACATCTTTAGACTTGCTGCGGGCCATGAAGAGCTCTCAGGCAGGGCACAGCCGGGAGCACAGCCGGACACGGCTCAATCTGCAGATCTCAGCAGACATGGAATGGGCCTCCAGGGAGGCATGGCAGGTTTCACTCTAGGCCAATTAATTACAAATCTGAAGTGTTCGTCAATTGCGAGCTCGGGCTCAAGTAAGAAACGAGTCTTCTTGGACTGGCCATGGATCAGAACTATGGCCTGCTGATTTGCACCATGGCATTGCATTGCAAGTGATGAGACAGTTGCTGACCAAATCTGGTGGTGTAAGCGAGAAACCTGGAGCTATGAAGGAAATATCAGATCAGCAGGACGGGAGGTTTAGACAACCTTGTAGTATATATAATATATATATATATGTATTGTGGTAGACAACCACTTGGAACTATATTATGTTCTAAGAGTTTGTTTGTCACTATATATATATATATACTGCATACATTTATACTATAATTGCTTTTGGGTGGCGGGAAGGGTGGGCTGATCCAGAATCCCCATGGGCAAGCTACCCGAGCTGAACACCTGCTGCACAATGGAAATGGACCACTACACGGTTTGGCTCGGTTGGGTTCCACATTTGTCTTCAGAAGGTCTGATAGATAGCTTGTGTCAACCTGCAGAAGGCAAATATAGACGAGGGTAAAGAAACTGAAGAACATGATCCCACACACCGAAAAAGAAAGGACCGGTAAGACTCTTCAGTCCCTCTCGGAGCCAGGATGTTAAGGGTGCTAGGCTTATGTTGGGCGATGGCAGCCATACGTGGCCAACCATCAAATATTTTTTGTGAAAAAAATGAAAAAACAAAATAAAAGCAAATGAAAATGCAAAAACAAAGCGAAAACAAAGCAAAAAACAAAAAAAAAAAAAAAGACAAATATGTTTTTGCTGTACCCTCCTAGGAAAAAAAACAAAAAAACGAAAAAAATAAAAAATAAAAATAAAACGAAACATATGCGAAAATAAAGCGAAAAAAAAGTGAAAAAAAAACGACAAATACGCACAGCTACATTTTCTTGTTTTTTTGTTTGCTTTGCCTTTTGTTTTTTTTTTGCTTTGTTTTTGCTTTATAAAACTATTTTGGCTCCTTGTATCTATGGCTGGCGTGCCCGACATAATGCTAGGCTGTTGGAAGCTGTAGCAATCCAACGAGTGAGATGGCATATATATAGTTTTTTTGGTTACAGTAAGTTGGCAAAGAAGCCATTGTCGTAGCCTATGTTTGGATCGGGTCTACATGATCGTGGGCACATCAGAATTTCGCCGAAGCAGCTGCCGCCGGTGGAAGATGGTTCCGGGGATTGGTGCCCTTGATCAGGATTCACTGGGCAAATCAGCACTGAGGCATCTATGGCTTGGAAATTCTCACGGCCTTGCAGTTGCTGTCGCAGATCCGTAAATTCGGAGGAGTCTGGAAATTCAGGAGCCCTGAGTCACACGAAACCGGGAGACACATCCAAAAAGATCATGCATATACATATATGTATATGCATGATCTTTTTGTATATGTATATGCATGATCTTTTTG